GCATATCTGGGGAATAGTCCAACACTTTACTCTAAGCATGCTTAGTCTGTAAATCCATATGCATGCAACAGTGTTTTGGGGACACTTGTGATTTTGTGGTTAAGTGTCTTCTACAAACTCGGCTGTAAGTAATGCATTTTTTTTAATCTCCTCTTCTATGACAAATTGAAATGAATTTGTAACGCTCAATCCTGTTAATGCATAAATCAATGCATAAAAATTTAATAAAACAGAAAAGTGATCATATAAACAAGGAAGTAAACCTCCACAGTATGTGCAGAATAAAAGCACCAATGTTTAGATGCGGGATGGATCCCTGCCCCTGTGTGGCACTGCGTGCTACCAGTGGAACAGATGAGTGCTGGCAGATCAGACAGACGAGGCAGGTTGATGTTGAAGAAAGGTTGAAGTTAGCATGAGTTTATGGGATGCAGAAACATCACTCACCACTAAAGCAAGACCTAAAAATCTACCAATTCCCAGCATTATTTACACTTTTAAACCTAAATGATAACATAACTGATCGATCTTCTCTTTCTATGAAATGTGCAGCATCTTTCCCAATGAATGAAAGGCTGTTATTGTTGTTCAAAAATAGCTGTATGCAGATTATGTAATATTACCTAACATGGCTCTGTTTATTGGCTATAAGTGTGATTCTAATAATGGAATCCCTTCTCTGAACCACTGCTTGGCCTACACGATGCTGCAAATATCTTCATTGAGCGACTTCATCCAGTATTTTTCTTCATTAGGATGCCATTTCATACGCCAATGCTAACATAAAACATTTGGTTTTCTCTCTATATATTTTTATTTGGAAAGATCTGCATCCATACAAAGATGTGGGAAAACCACAGCTTTTGTTATATCCTCACAACATTTTATTTTTTCATGAAAACTGCTGTACCCAGGCTCTACGGAGAAGTAAATTGTAACAATGAGGAAAGCTACAGCAGAAAGGGCTACATTGTTGTAACTTACAACATGTGGGCATCACGGGCCAATAATTCATGTGACCATCAGCTCATTATCTCACAGAGGAATGGCTACTGCTGTCTTATGTTCAAAAATATCTCCAATAGTAAGGTAGTCCACATGCACTTGCATTCTTTGCATCCAATGAAGTTGGACTAGACTGTAACACAAAGAGTTTATCAGGTGCTTGTAATACTTATGATGGGTCATAATGATAGTGTTGATCAGTCTGCCTGCTTGACAATCCCATTTTATCTTAAACAAAATGAGTGAAGTAAAAGGAATGGACTGAGAACTAAAACAGAAATCCACAAAGTTTTCCTTTGTGGATTTTAATTGCAAAAACCATCTAAACCGTCGTGATTTTGTTTGTGATAGTGTCTCATGACGATGCCGTACAAGCATGTGACGCCCGTGGCAGCAACAGATGTTCGCAGATCAACAATGGAAAATATGGAGTGTGGGAGAGAGTGCGACCATGCAGCGTTTAAAGCGTGGATGTGCTGACATTACTTTAAGTTTTATTCTGTAAAAAGTGACGAAAACATTAGCGTCCACTGTACACTCTGCGTGGGAATAAAACTTATATCTAGGAAGCCGCCACAGGAATGTGAAATTTACAGAGAAACCTCAGGATCCTCCCACTGACATGACCGCTGCGGCACCGAGCAAACCTCCGATATCCCCACTCCTGCTAAACAGGTGAAAATACAGTGGCTTGCAAAAGTATTCGGCCCCCTTGAACTTTTCCACATTTTGTCACATTACAGCCACAAACATGAATCAATTTTATTGGAATTCCACGTGAAAGACCAACACAAAGTGGTGTACACGTGAGAAGTGGAACGTAAATCATACATGATTCCAAACATTTTTTTTACAAATAAATAACTGAAAAGTGGGACTCAGTCCCCTGAGTCAATACTTTGTAGAACCACCTTTTGCTGCAGTTACAGCTGCCAGTCTTTTAGGGTCTGTCTCTACCAGCTTTGCTAATCTACAGACTGAAATCTTTGCCCATTCTTCTTTGCAAAACAGCTCCAGCTCAGTCAGATTAATGGACAGCATTAATGAACAGCAGTTTTCAGATCTTGCCACAGATTCTTGATTGGATTTAGATCTGGACTTTGACTGGGCCAGTCTAACACATGGATATGTTTTGTTTTAAACTCTGGCTTTATGTTTAGGGTCGTTGTCCTGCTGGAAGGTGAACCTCCGCCCCAGTCTCAAGTCTTTTGCTGACTCCAAAAGGTTTTCTTCCAAGATTGCCCTGTATTTGGCTCCATCCATCTTCCCATCAACTCTGACCAGCTTCCCTGTCCCTGCTGAAGAGAAGCACTCCCAGAACATGATGCTGCCACAAACATATTTGACAGTGGGGATGGTGTGTTCAGAGTGATGTGCAGTGTTAGTTTTCCGCCACACATAGCATTTTAGCCAAAAAGTTCTAAAGACTAATAGTTGTCCTATGGACAGATTCCCCCACCTGAGCTGTAGATCTCTGCAGCTCGTCCAGAGTCACCATGGGCCTCTTGGCTGCATTTCTGATCAGCGCTCTCCTTGTTCGGCCTGTGAGTTTAGGTGGATGGCCTTGTCTTGGTAGGTTTATAGTTGTGCCGTACTCCTTCCATTTCTGAATGATCACTTGAACAGTGCTCCGTGGGATGTTCAAGGCTTGGGAAATCTTTTTGTAGCCTAAGCCTGCTTTAAATTTAAATTTCAATAACTTTAACCCTGACCTGTCTGGTGTCTAAATCCAACCGAGAATCTGTGGCAAGATCTGAAAACTGCTGTTCACAAACGCTGTCCATCTAATCTGACTGAGCTGGAGCTGTTTTGCAAAGAAGAATGGGCAAAGATTTCAGTCTGTAGATGTGCAAAGCTGGTAGAGACAGACCCTAAAAGACGGGCAGCTGTAACTGCAGCAAAAGGTGGTTCTACAAAGTATTGACTCAGGGGACTGAGTCCCACTTTTCAGTTATTTATTTGTAAAAAAAATGTTTGGAATCATGTATGATTGTCGTTCCACTTCTCACGTGTGCACCACTTTGTGTTGGTCTTTCACGTGGAATTCCACTAAAATTGATTTATGTTTGTGGCTGTAATGTGACAAAATGTGGAAAAGTTCAAGGGGGCCGAATACTTTTGCAAGCCACTGTAGATTTAAGAGCGACAGGACTTAGTGCTGCTGAATCTTTGATTTTATTGATGTTTTGCTGTGTTTTACTTGCATCTATTTGAAAGAGTGAGTGTAAACCCAAAACATTATTTTATTTTATATGCTGCAATATGCAGAAAATGGGTTTAAATGTTAAAGAATTTCTTCAAGTCAAAGACTGTTGCGTGTAATTTAATTTTTTGCTTAATGCAATGTGCATAAAATTAAAAGATTAAAACTCATAATACAATTTTTAAAAAGAGGCTTTCCATTTGATTCAATTTAATGTGACGGATTATGCATAAAAAATAGAATTGGGCTGAAAGGTCTATTGTGTTATTACGTATTCAGGTCGTGTATCATGTTTTTAAAAAGTAACTAAGTAACTAATTACTTTAGAAAATAAGTAATCAGTAAAGTAACGGGATTACTTTTTTGGCAAAGTAATCAGTAATTAATTACTAATTACTGTTTTCAAGTAACTTGACCAACGCTGATATACACACACGGGCTTAAACAATTCTTAACCCTCTTGCACTTTCTAACAGGGCTGCAGACATACTCAGGTAAAGGGTAAAAGCTTGTATTCTTCATTAACATTCACAATACATGTTTAAAATGCACCACATCAGCACAAAAGCTTTTCCACAAGGACACCTGCAATTTCATGTTACAGTGTAATAGATTGCTACAGGCAATTTGCTAACCTGACACTTAATTCAACAGCAAGATGATTTTCTTCACAGTAATTGAGAATGAACAATGAACAATCAGCCATAAGCGGCCAATACAATCTGATTACCTTTGATTCGCCGTGAGCAGCTCAATTTCTTAATTTCTGCCCGATTTTCACAGAAACACAAAGACACCAAAGCAGCTCTAGTTTTTTTCGTGTCAGCTTCAGGAATGAAGTTCAAAGTTCACAGGATTTTAGCTGGTTTGTTCCAATCATTTTCACATTAACACCCATTCAGATTCTGGCAACAGGGAATAATAGCCCAAACGGTCAATTGAAAAGCAGTCTTCTTTTCATCCCTGGATGACCCACAATGACACTCTAATTCTGTAAAACCCCACATGATATGCTTTTTTTTATTCACTCTTAGCATGACAACACAAATGCACTTTCTGTCACTCTGTGTCAGCTTTCCTGGCACGGATTACACCAATCCCTTTAATTTAAATCTGACTCTCTGTGGAAACAGTCCAAACACTTTTGGTGTTTTAGTCCAATACCGATTAAACGGAATGAACCGGGGCCAGGGAGTCAGGCCCACATTTATATGGTATAATCTATGATCTAAGTGCATACACTAATGTGGGCCATTTAACTGACCTGCTTATACTGCAAAACAAATCACCCTGGCAAGTGTGACTTGATATATTTTTAGTATGTGTGTCCTGGGGGTATTGGGCTGAGAAGCAACAAGGTCATGGTTGCTATCTGATGCACAGAGGAATATGAGTGTAATGGGATTGGACACAGAGAGCTTTGATGGAAGACAACATTTTATTTAAAGTGGACATAGTATATGGTGTGAGCCATGTTTTGGGGGTTTCAACACTGCCTCTCTTCTACCCACACAAATACATATACTATAAAACTATGCTGTCCCAGCCACGCTAAACTGGAGAGCATTTTAAGTGTGAGCCTTCCTTCTTTGGCTATAGAAGTCTTTACAAACACAAATGTGCATTTTACAGACCTCTGAGGCTTTCGTGGAATTCTGTTTGATGTGGGACAAATGAGATTATGTAGAACTTATTTTGTGATCGCTAACTGCGAGATTCACGGGACGTTAAGAGATCATGTGCATCTATTCCCCTCTGTAAAGGGATTTCTGATTAGTCCCTCGTGACCTACCTGAAGTTTGACCGGGGCCATCCAGTTTGGATTCACATTTTGGAAGAGAGCAATCTAAAAAGAGACAGAGATAAAAATGAGAGAGGGAGAGAGAAATTTTAAGAAAGGAAATATAGAGCTAAAGGACTGCCCAGTGACCCACTAAAGCAGCAGCATGACCTTCATCATGTTCTAGTGTCCAAACATTAAAGCCTTGGGATTACAAATGAGAGCGAGTGAGCAATTCGAGAGGAGCCCTTTGATCTGCATATCTGGACAGACCCACCCTGAGATTAAACGCCATCAGACATTTTGTACGCAGTTCTACACACACACACACACACACACACAAAGTTGTGTTTTCATATCTTAGTGGGGACATCTACCTGACATAATGCTTTCCCTAATCACATACCCTAAACATAACCTGATTGTAAAGCTGATACTAAAAAAAATATTTTGAGTCTCAAAAATGTCTTCAAACTCATGCAGACAGGTATTTTGTCCCCATAACGGCTGTTGGTCCCACAAGTATAGTAACATCCCAGTTTTTGTTTCCCACAAAGATATGTAAACAAACACACACGCGCGTGCATGTTTACATAGATTTATAAATGTGCTACTATATGTGTTATCTGTATTTATCAAGAATATAGGTTTTTCTGTGCTCTTAAACACACGCTTAGACATTCGCTCACACACATGTAGGACACCCAGCACTGATAAGTGAATTAACTTAAAAGATACCAAGTACAGCTGATACCATAGTATCTACTGCCTGAGAAACCATCTTTAAGGAGATAAAATTATTCAACCAGATATGTGAAAAAGCAAAGCTGCGTGCTTGGCAATTTCTATGCTAAGCGTGTAACACTACAGTTGAGAGAAATTTGGTCTGCCCAAACTGCTAAGCTGGAATCAATAATGTCAGTTTGAGCACCTCAATTAATTCAGGATAAAATAATCAATAATGACTCATTCATAATGGATCCTCTCCTAGTCCACACATCCAGCACACAAATCTAATTTTGCCAAATTCATACATAAATAAATAAGGCAACATTACTTCAAAGGGAACACTGATGTGAGAGACATTCCATGCCGATGACATAAACCCTTGAAAATAAATAAAAATGAATGAAATGACTCCAGACTGTAATAGAAGTTTCCCAGAAGTCAGTGCAGGTAACAGCTGGACCAAATGACCAAATCATCTTGTAGCCTGTAGAAGACTGAGAAACTCTTTCTGGGTCGCTCACTAGTTGTACACTATAGTGGCAAAAGATAACAGAGAGGAGAGGAGAGGGGCAGCTTAGTCCTTCACTCTAACTTTTCCTGGACTCCTTTATGAAAAGAACAGCCTGGCATATGCTGTCGCCTAGCCAGGATTACAGTAAGCACCTGTTCACGCACAGTACGCTTCATTTTGTACAGTGTAGATAAAGTTTTTGGTCCAGTGAAAAGCACTAACAGAATTTTCAAGAGCTTATATATACATGCATGCACAGCAGCCTGCGAGAGACAGACAGGCAGTCGGAGACGCCAAAGGGAACACAAAACAGAAGGTAACGTCTACCAAATACTGTGAAATAAACAAACCACTAGGTTAAAAATAATTGAAAGAATCTTTACTTGTACCTGAGGACAAGGTCAAGCTGTTAGGAGGTTTTAAAGTAAGTAGGAACTATCCAGATTTCTCCAAAATCTGCACAAATGAACTTCTAGAGAATAAATAATGCAGATTATTTAATGTAAGAGAATTAATATAAGAGAAATGTCATGTTTACAAAAGGGAAAACAGAGGAAAACCCTTTTAGAGCAACGATGATATAGAAAGATGTTAACCTAAATCCTGTGCCTGTTTTTGTGATCGTGTAGGAAAAGAGAGAGGGGGAAAAAAGTGAAATCGTGCACCACTAAGTGTGACCAATCAAATTCATTTGAGTGCATGTGTAAATTCGACAACAGCAGAAGCAAGAACCAGTACTTCTGCAAGCCTATACATTAGGATGGTATGTTAGTTTGATCCTCAACCCATTTTATATAAAGGCAGAGAGGCTTTGTCGGCTAAGTCCGAGGAGCACTGGGCTGGCACTGTTCACGCAACACAGATCAGAGCCTGCTGCTGCCTTCAAAGCAAGGGTGAATGATGCAGAGTCAGTCTGTTTGTGAGGGGAAGAGAGACTACACAGTTCCTGCTGGACAGAGTAAGTACAGCTGTTGGCAGAAGACAAGCAGTCACGGGCAGCACACAAGCTCACACATGTATGCAAACACACTCTGCAAGCTGTGCTTTGATTTTACCAAAGCTGAGCCCATGATGCACTTTAGTCCGATTTGTTGTTTTCATGCTGACTAAAGAGCGCTCTTGACTTGCCTGCTAAAGAAAGTAAAACATGCAGAGAAGAGCAGTAAAGAGAACGGGTATATTATCAGAATCAGCTTAAGCATAAATAGGAAAAGTGTTAAATTAAATATTCCAAAGTTAACAACACTATGTACAATATAAGCAAGATATTACAAGTGAAAAATAGTCCAGATGTCATAAGGAGGAGATGTAAAGTTTAATTGCAGTAGGTAGGAATGCTTTCCTGTGCTGTTCTGCGGTACATCGTGGTAGAATGAGTCTTTTGCTGACCGTGCTACTGTGGCTTTCCAGGAGAGGGTGTAAACTAAGAAGCTTGGAAAGAAAAGCGTCTGGACTTCTTTAAGTTGCTTGAAAACGTTTCACCTCTCATCCGAGAAGCTTCTTCAGTTCTAGGGTCAAATGGTGACACCAACTGTCTGCCATCTATAATCCAGTTTTGAGATCCCTTCACAGACGCCTTAACACCCACTCACATCCTGGGCCATCTGACCTCAGGAAATCACATGATAGGGTGGGGCCAGGTTTCACAATGGGCTCACCCAAAACCCTGTCTGATTGTGACCTACACCCGTTTTCACACCTTGGGTCATGTGATTAGGTAGAGGATCATTAGGGGGTCCATTGTCCCCCTTGGGGGGGATACTCCCACAGGGCTTAAATCTGGGACTCTCCATCATTTGACCTTAGAACTGAAGAAGCTTCTCGGATGAGAGGTGAAACGTCTTCAAGCAACTTAAAGACGTCCAGACGCTTTTCTTTCCAAGCTCCTTAGACTACGATGACCTGGATGACTGAGAACCTTCACAGAGAAGATGTAATAGATCGTTAAATACTGTCCGTAACTTGGACAGCATCCTCCTTTCTGAAACCGCTGTCAGAGAGTCGAGCTCCACACCCACAGCATCACTGACCTTGTAGGTCAGTTTATTGAGTCTGTTGCTATCCATTGCACCACAGCGCAGACAATGGCACTGGCCACCACAGACTCATAAAACTTCCTGAGCATCATCCGGCATATATCAAAGGACCTCAGTAGTCTCTGAGAATACAGATGGCTTTGGCCCTTCTTCTAGAGGGTTTCTGTGTTTTTAATGAAGTCCGAGGGTTTTTTTTGTCAATGTGATCACCGCGGTAACAGTATATGAAGTTTCATGAATGCAGCTTTTGCATGTGTGCTTCTGTGTGTGTGACAGAATATCAATTATTTAAAGTTACTGCCATCAGCCTCATATAAAATTCAACAGAAAGACTTAAATTAGGAGCTGTAATTTTTTTAAAAGCAAGAAACTAGAGTGCACAGTGCAAGAATGAGGCCTCCTTTTCTTTCTAACTCTACGCAGGAAAAGCAACTGGTACTCTCGCTAACTGGTTTTATGAATGGAAAAAAATAGCACACTGCCTGACACTTGACATGCAACCTTTCTCTCAAAAAGTATTTAAAAAAATACCCCCAGAACTCAAGCAGAGCACTGGCCTCATGAGTCATTGCTCGTGTTTTTTTTTTCTCAAAGTGCTTTTGGTGAAAGTAAAACTGAGACACAAAGCATTGCATGATGCTCCTGACTTAAAAGACTCCACATTCAGATACTACCTTTGCCTGAAAGAGAGATGAGATAAGGGAGGGTATAAGCAGAAAGCTTGAGAAAGGAAGAATCATATTTTCGTTTATGAACATATGGAACTTCATATGACGATGTAAAGCATTTTATAATCTCTGCATTGGTGTCTCGGTTACTGAAGGTACAAGAAAAGAATGGAATTAGATGTGGTGGGACTTGCAAACAGAAGATCTGAATATTACAATAAAAGATCATTACTTGGATATATTACAACCCTGAGCAGAAGCGAGGTCTGAAGTAATGATGGAAGGCTGTGTGGGAGAGAAGTGGAGGAGGCGAGGAAAGGAATGAAAAAGGACAGAACGAGTGGGAGACTGCAGTTGAGTGATAGGCTTCGCTCTTATCAGATGGGGGATTTGCAGAAGACACAGAGACGAACCCACAGCTTATTTTTATGACCTGCAATCCTCCTTCATCCACCCAACCCCCCCTGTGCTTCATAAGCCCGGGGCGACGTGGGTGGGATGTAGTGATTTATACCTATGTGCATGTGTGTGTCATATGTATATGAATGTGCATGTGTTAGAACACAAGACGAACGTACTGGAATTCCTGGTAATTGACTTGACACTAGTAACCGATGCCATTCACATATGTGCACAAATACTCAGCTGATCTTTCTGGATAATTTTCCTGTTAACCACTTTAAATGAACGAACGTGATCTCTGTCACGGTGCAAAATAAGGCAGCGTAGTTTCACTCAAGACCTTAACTCAAATTAACTCAAGAAAATAAATGGCAAACTGAAAAGTTTGATTGGCTTCATTAAAGCTGAAACAACCGCGGCACGTACTTCCACATTTCCTGTGTTAACGTAATGGCCCAGGCCATGTCGGTGTGTCTTCAAAGCGACTCCACAGATGTACGTGACATTTTACAACAATCAATAACTTGGCGTGATGGAGTGTATTACGACTCTCAAAAAGGTCGAGAGCCTTTGATGAGATCGATCAGCATGGTCTGGCTGTAAAACAGGTAATTGCCTCGCTGTGCACCCTTCTTGATTGTCTTTGCCATAAAACTCTTAGAAATGGATCCCGATATCTGGCCCTTATAATACAGTGTACAGTAGGCTTTTTATATAAAT